ACAGAGGCGAGGCTGCCGAGCACTGGCGCCACCGGTCCCTCCAACCACCACCAGCAGGCAAGGTGGGTTAAGTGTCTTGCCCAAGGACACAACGACAGCGATAGACTGAGCAGGGCTCAAACCTGCAACCTTCCGATTGCGGGGCGAGCACTTAACTCCTGTGCCGCCGTCGCCCCCAAAGTGACGTTCCGTGCCGCTCATGCTTCCAGTGTGAACTCGGGGTTACACCTAGCTACCTAGCAGGAAGCAGAGGTGTGACATTGTGGCATCAACAAGTCATCTCCATGTCATGTTTTGTTCTGCTCAGCAATGAAACCAGGTGATTTCAATCAGCACAGTGAATTAACCCGGTTTAATTGCTGAGCAGAACAAAAACATGACATGGAGATGACTTGATGATGCCACAATGTCACACCTCTGGCAGGAAGTTTAACCTCCACAGTTTACTGTAGCAGCTCCCCAGATAATCTTATCAGACGTTCCTTCTGTGTGTGGTGAGTTAAGAGCGCTCGGAACAGCTCGGGGACCGCTCCAAGTATAAATCATGGTTATTAAACGTAATGGATTCCTAACTCTGATTTGGAGAGGACGAGCGCGCATGCTAACTGTGTGCTACGACATGTGGCCAGTCAGAAAAGCGCCGTGACCGAAGTACGCTGCGCGTTCCACCTCCACCATGTTTGTTCAGTCCCAGGTCCCCCATCTGACCTGGGAATGCTCGTTGGGGAATTGTGTTTCCAGGCACTGTTGAAGTTCTTTATTGGATAAAAGCAGCTTATAAAACTGCTGGTGAAAAACGAGATAACACAGCGTGGTTCACTCATCGAGATCCAAATCTCTGATCCAATCAACCAAAAAGTTATTTTGACATAAAAAAAGACTTGAACTATCTTAGGTGTGTTCTTGCTGTGTCTTTCTAAATTCATGCTTTCGTTCTTTTTTAAACACAGAAACAGTTTTGTTTACCTGTTTGTAGCTACAGTTTCGCCGACGGCTGCCGGCTTCTTCAGGCTGACGCTGATGGTGGCGCGTCACTTCCTTCTCCGTTTATCTGTTTCTGTGTTTAAAAAAGAACGAAAGCAAAGACTTGAACTAATTAAAGTGTTTCTCGTGAAACAGCAGAGTGCATCACTGACTAACAAACGCTTTTCAATGACAAATAGATTTTTGTTTATTTAATGCAGAGGCGTCTAATTCTGGTCCTCCAGGGCCACCATCCTGAACGTTTCTCTGCTCCAGCTCACCTGGTTTGGATCGATGGCTAACTAACAGGCTGCTGTAGAACTTCAGGTTCTGCTGAAGAGGGAATTCCACCAAGGAAGCAGGAGTTGGACCTGCAGGACCAGGAGCTGACACCACCCCAAACATTTGTGTGCAGACAAGACCAGAGTTTGGAGGAAACCAGTAATCAATGACTTCTCTTAATGGGAGAAGAAGTGCTGAAGCTTTAGTGGAAGTTTGAAGCAGAGTAGATAAATCACACTGGTCTGCTGAAATCAGTACTGTAATGGTGACGGAGGTCTTCACAAATCAATGGACGTGTGTGTGTGTGTGTGTGTGTGTGTGTGTGTGTGTGTGTCTGGAACCGTTCTGGGTCAGGAGAGTTCTCACCAGGACAGACCAGAGCACTGACCTCAAGACGGCGTTAACGACCTCATCCGAAGGCTGAAGCCTCGGCCTTTGTTCCAACTATTTAAATCCGCTTTTAAGTAAAAAAATAAAGAATCTAAATGGTAATAAAGCACCTCTGGAGTCATCAACTAAACTATGAAATGTATGTTAAGCAACCGATTGACTTCATATAAACAGAGTTCACTTAAAGGGCTGGATGAAAAAAGCTACGGCGGTGTTGGAAGACAAGAGAAAAGGCTTCAGAAACATCACTCAGCCAGACGAGATGCGTTCAGGTTCCTTTTGGTGTTTTTCTTCATGGGGTCTCAACACTTTTCTCCGTTTCTGCGTTTTTATTCTTCTGGCTGAAAAAGGAGGTTTGGAGAAGCACTTTTCCCTGAACTCAAAGGTCAGCCAGCCTTTCATACCAGAGTGTTATCGTCCATCAGCGTCTTACTGTTCTATTATAACACACACACAGTTTAAATAGAGAAATCTCCAGCTGATCATATTTTTCTGAGCTAATCTCACCCCCGGTTGCCTACACCCACCCTGTGACTCACCTCTCAGCATCAGGACCACCACACAAGTATTCTACCAACACAAATTAGCGCACTAATTGGGTTTAACGCAGAACCTGACTTGGAAATGAATTCCAGCGTTGTTTGTCGTGGCTGGGGATGGCAGGAGTTGAGACAAGGCGGCCTAATTTAAGGCGAGCAGCTCCGAGCACCAATCCCCAGGAGTCTTGCTGATGAGGTCGAACTGAGCCAATGGGAGTCGGAGAACAAAAGGGAGAAATAACAGTAGGTAGAGTACGGGTTCCACCTTAAATAATAAAGCAGTGTCTCTAAGAAGAATGGCACAGACACGTTCCAGGTTTTATCAGCTGATCAATCCACAGCGTGGAGGTGGCGAGGCGAGGCTCTTAGGCTGATAACGATATGAGATTCTCTTGAGAACATTAGGAGTCAGCAGCTTAAGGGTCTAATAGACGACAGCCTGCTGAGCAGAAATATTGGGAAAGCTCCCAGAAAGACAAGAATTTAACTTGGGTTCATGGACTCATTATTCATGAATGAGTTCATTAATCTTTTTTTTCTCTTTAGCACTCGAGGAGTACAGATGCTTCCCTCTTTCGCTCCCTTATCTTTTTTTCCCAAGGCTCTTTGTCCTGTCTGCCCACAGAGCACTTCTCTGCATTTCTTCTGAAAAACTCTATTTGTTACTAACCATGGATTTGATAAACTGGTCATTCAACGCGATCGATAAGATTTTTTCAACAATGAGAACGGAGCAGGGGGCTCCCACATGTCCACAGGGGACACACCCGGTGGGATATATGCTGGATTCCTGGAAGGAGTGGAAGATCGTATGCCTCTCCCAGCTGTCCATTGAGGACATTGAAGATGTGTGGATATCCGGCCTGATGACCACTGGATTTCTCATGATTGGAGTGGGAGGATATCTGGTTTTCTGGATATTTGGGAGGACGGGAGCGATTGGAGGGCGACCCGCACCCACGGAAAGCACCGTCCATGTGGAGACTTCACAGACTGGTACGTTACTCGAGGTGAATCGTAAGCTGGTCAATGTTCTAGCTGCGATACCGGTATTAGTGCGCAAAATGGATGTCATCTCGGAGAGGGTCGCCGGACGATATGGACAGGTTTAAAAACCCAAAATTGGCTTCACTGGTGGACTGGAATGATCGGTTTAAAGACTGAAGGCAGAGAGGAAAATTATCTCAGCCTGACCCAAACAAATTCTTGTTATCTGAATCTGACGCCCTGGTAGCCTTGAGCTGCAAGCAACAAAACCCCCCACGAAGGAATGATGCTGTGATGCTCATGTAACCCCTCTGACTCAGGCGCGACTCAGGGTTGCGAATGACCACAGTCACCAATTCTTGTCATGTGTCTATGCCTGTGTATGTATGTCTGATCTCTGAATTGTGTGTACTGAAACTCTAATTTCCCTCTGGGATTAATAAAGTATTGATTGATTGATAAAGAAAGAAAAAACTGGAATACCTGGAATGCCATTACAAGGATGAAGATCAGTTGATGACAATCAGCCCTTTCAGGACTCTGCTGGACGTCAGCATATCGCGACTGTTTCGTCAGTGAGTGATGTCACCGATCAGTGACAAAAACCGTCTAAAAACACAAAAAATGTTTTATTCTACGAATCTCTTCTTTTGGCCTGTTCGTCTGTCCTCCGTCACTTTCAGGTTCATCAAGCTGGACGAGTAATTAAAACCAGAAAATCTTCGTTTGATTTTTAGATCTTAGACCGTTTTCATCCTTTAAAGGTGTCGTCTGTTCCGAAGGTTCCCAACGTCGTTCCTGTTCGTTTAACTTTTACTCAGATTAGTGGGAACTGAATGAGTTTTGTTTCTATTAATATGACTTAAATTCATTTTTCAAAATAAAATACCTTCAGATTAAAGTACATTTAGCACATTTGACCCGTTTGGCCCAGTTTACCCAATTTTCTCTTGTAGATTTAAAAATATCAGCAAACATTCAGGTTTTTTAATTCTTGGTAAAACTCAAGTGGATTCGTTACCTATTTATGAATTTTAATGAAACAAACTTTTACTTTCTTTAGAGTTTTAATTGCTTAATCACATTTAAGCATGCTACATGGACAAAAGCAGCCACAACCGGTCAATATTTACCTTTTTCAAGCAACTATTATTTACACAGCCTAAATATTAAACATCAATTTAAGATTTTTCTGAATTATAACTCTCCCGCACAGCTGGTTTTAAACTAATTACCCATCACATTTCTTTATTTATAACCTTATTATTGTTATACATACTTCTTGGAATGTAATTAATTCCTGAGTTGTTTGAATTTCTGACATTTTAAATGACAATTTATTTATACAAGTTTTTGAAACAATAATAAATAAAGAGTTTAGAGTGGATGACGTGGCTGCTGCCCGGGGTCGGCTCATGTGATTCCTGTACTTCCAGTTTAGGGAATTGTTGGCCCTTCTGTGTAGTAAAGCTGTGCATTTATTCATTTATTTATTAAAAGTCACCCAGATGCAACATGTAGGTGTTTTATTTATTTATTTATTGAAGTTGTAAGGGCAAATGCTGCTTTCTCTGACTACCTTGATTTCATCTCCTACCAAATTAAAATCTGTTAGTTTTTCCTTCTTTAAACACATTTTTCTGACTGATCAAAGCAGCAGAGTGAAACAAAGATGAGTCGAAATTGTCATTTTTTTTTAGGTGTTGACAAAAACTAATCTAATTTCTCACCTTGAGAAATAACTGGAGCCAGCTCTGCTTCCCGGTAGCAGCTGAACGTCGGAGCATCATTTAGGTGTGAGAGCTGAACTAGAGAAACACCGACGGGCACACACGAGGCTCAGATTGCATTCAGATTTATTCATAGCAGCAGCGATTCACAGTTTTTACTGATGAAAAAATAAAACATCTTCACAGCTGGACTCACGCGTCACACGATCAGACGAAGCAGCAAACAGATCGGACTCCCGTTTCTGTGCATTCACAGAACAAACGCAGTTCAAGTGAAATAAATAAGGCAACACTGAAAACATCATACTGCCCACAGATTTAGTCACGGAGACGGCCGTCGTTTTATGTCACGGTGCAGCAGAAATAAGGCAACACAACTCAGACAGGAAGGATACATTCATCGGTGTCAGTCCCGTTTCACAAATATGATGAAAATATTTATTCGTAGCCGCATTTATGGGCTTAAAGTGAGCGTCGGAACAACCCACGTGTGCAAATTCACACAAATGTTAACAAACACACTCACAAGAGCTCTGATACGAAGCAGGCAGCTGTGACGGATGTTTGCCTCCGTGAGCGGGCACCTTTAGACAAGAATCACAGAAAAAGTCATTTTGTTTCTCAACCTGCTGCAAACTGACTCAGCAGCTGAAGATCTGCTCGAAAACTAAAAGAAATGATTCAATAAAGGAAAACCTGGTTTTGAATCTCAACTTATCCAGCCTGACAGATTCATCTTTTCATTGTCATGCATCCAGTACACGAACCTGTGAAAGGGCCTTTTAGACCCTGGTGTTTGTTGCTTGTGCTCTTTTATCTACACATCCGTTTGATTTAAGGGCTCAAATCTGCCTTAAAGTAAATAAAAGTTCACAAATATGACATTTGGACCCCCCAGTCAGGTAACAGTCCCTCTAGCATCCACCTGTAAGAGGTTTCCAGGTGTATCTGAACACGCTGATGTACACATGTTTGAGATATTTGTACAGAAATCGAAGAGGATGGACGCCCTCTGGGTTGGACGTGTCAGGAGGATTGCTGACACGCTAAAACGCCGAGGCATCCCAGCTCTGCAGCAGCAGAAATGACATGTTAAACTCCTAATCCTCGTAGATTTACACGCTTGTTCAGAACGAGTGGGCTCCTTCTGCCGTGGCTGCTTACAGAACGGTGCTCTGGGGTGACACCTACCTGACTCGTGAACATTTAAGCTTCCAGGCATTTACAGATGAAGTCCATTTGTTTAGACCAGGGGTGGGGAACCCTGCTCCATCGAGGGCCACTGTCCAGCATATTTTAGTTTCAACTCTGCTTCGGCACACCTGATTTCAATCAGCAGGTGATTAACAGGCTTCTGCAGAGCCTGATGAGCTGCTGAAAAGGCAAATCAACCACTGAATCAGAAGCGTTGGAGCAAAGACGTGCAGGATAGCAGCCCTCGAGGACCAGGGTTCCCCACGCCAGGTTCAGACCTTTACACCAGGCTCAGACACAAGAGAGAGTGTGAGCAGCAGAAGATCTCCTTGAAGGTTTTCCTCATCTCCTGGCTGCGAAAGGCATAGATGATGGGGTCGATGACGGAGTTGCACATGATGAGGATGAGGTACATGTTGAAGTGGGACATGAAGCAGGTGCAGTAGGGGTTCCTGGGGCAGCTGATCATGAGGATGAGGTGGAGGAAGAAGGGCGCCCAGCACACCACGAACACCCCGAGGAGGATGGTGAGGGTGATGGCCCCCTTCATGTTGGCCCGCTGATGGATGGGAGCGTTGCCCGGCAGCGCGGCGATACGCTTCATGTGCAGGCGCGCCAGCAGGAACATGTGCACGTAGAGCGACGCCATGAGGACCAGCATGGTGAAGAACATGGTGATGAGGCAGATGAGGACGGTGGTGCTTTCGGAGTAGACGATGAACAGGATGCCAGAGATGGTGCAGCACGTCCAGATGGTGCTGATGACCAGCATGGCCCGCCGCAGCGTCACTATGTTGTGGTAGCGCAGGGCGTAGAAGATGGTGATGTATCGGTCAACGGCGATGGCCAGCAAGCTGCAGATGGAGGCCAGCAGAGAGCTGCAGATCAAAGAGTCGAAGATGTTGTCCATGCTTCTGATCAGAGTGACGGAGATGGTGAGGCTGCCTCCGTTGATCAAAGCTATCACAATGGTCTCGGAGGCGTTGGAAACGCTGACCAGCATGTCAGCCACCGCTAGGCTGCAGATGAAGAAGTACATCGGGGAGTGAAGGTTCTTGTTTTTGATGATGGCAGCAACAACCAGAATGTTCTCCAGAAGGCTGACAATGCCCAGAGTTAGGAACACCTCCGTGGAGATCAGAAGCTGCTCGTAGCATCCTGCAGACGAGTCCTTCTCCTCTCCAGAAAAGTCTTTGTCCAGCGGTGAAGTGCTCTGGGTGAAGCTCCTGTTAGCGTAGCCTGGGATCAATCCATGACGAGCTGTGGAGTTCATCTTCTTCTCTTTGCTGCTGTGAGCCCTTAAGATCTCAGCATGGGTGGCTTTGAGTTCTCCTCTTTATCTGGTGGACTCCCAGGTAGAAGAATCATCAAACTCCCAACAGGTGTTTCTTCTCCTCAGTTTCACCTGTCGGGCTTTCCTACAGGAACATCTGCTGCTGTTTGATTCTCAGCCAGCCCCACTGCTCCGATAATGAGAGACGCAAAGATAAATGCTCCCCAAGACCATGTGAGGAAGAGGATGAGTGAAGCAGAAAAGATGTGAGGCTGGAGAATAACGTGCAGGAGGAGGAGAGGCAGAGCGCAGCGGCTTTCCGTTGGACCCACGGCGGATCATCACTTCCCAACCGCCGTGGTCCTCTGCTCCCTCTCTCCTCTCCCTCGCTGCTGATATACCAGACACACACGCGCACGCACGCGCACGCACACACACACACACACACACACACACACACACACACACACACACACACACACACACACACACACACACACACACACACACACACACACACAGGAGATGGGAGGAGGAGCAGCACACATGAGGGCTGACGCATGAATGGAGAGCTCAGTAAATGAAAATTTTATCATCCTGTAGATTTAAATAAATAAATCAGAAAATTATTTTTTATTTCCTGGTTTTAGAAAGTAGCAAAAACATAAAAAAAAAAACTGGCCGAAAAAAACAAAACAAAAAAAATACATCAAATTGAAAAGAAATTAATATTTTAGGAACTTCAAAAGCTTTTTAGATCAAGACAAAAACAAAGTTTATTATATTTTTTTCTTAAACCCCATAAAAAACAGATTTTCCTGCTAATTGAATCTGTTTTAGCAGCTCTTCGCTGCATTTATAGCAGCACTCTGTCTGGGTTAAAGTCATGGTACTGATCAGGTCTACACGCCTTTTAAACTAACACCAGATTTCAGAAATGCATTTTTATTGTGTCTGCAACCTCCAGCAGTGCTCGAGTATGTTACCATTAACTCTGTATTAAATGTGGACGACTGTTCTCCTACAGGCATCAAACTCGGTGGGTAACCGTTTTCTGAAATGCTTCTTTGAAAAAGTGGCGATGCGAGCAGCTCTGCCAACTGTCCAGATCCCTTCTATGGCTTTTGAGGGGACGGCCGGTTTCTTTAGCAGACTTAGCTGGGTTGGTGGTGGGTGGGTGGTGGTGGTGGGGGGGGGGGGGGCAAACTCAGGGGTTCCTGCCCCCGAGACTGCTTAAGGACGGTTTTAGCTGATTTTGCATTTAATCAACAGCAGCTTGGCTTCTGGTTTGTGCCGGCTGATCTTATAAAGACAGTTATTCACCCTCGTCTAAAGAAACCTGGGCTAGAGGCTTCGCTGCTAGTTAACTGTAGGCTGATTTTTAGGTTCCCCTTCTTTGAGTAAGATGCTGGAAAAATGTATCTACAGTCAGCTAATGGACTTTTTAATGAGTTCAATGTTTTAGAAAGCTTTCAGGCAGGTTTTAAATGTTGCACAGTTCTGAAACCGCATTTTAAAGGCTTTTAATGATATTTTCTTGACAACTGATGGAGGCGAACCAGTGCTGCTAGTCCTGTTGGATCTCACAGCAGCTTTGATACCGTGGACCATGAAGTGCTGCTCCTTTGTCTTCAGCACTAAGTGGGGCCTTCTGGTCTGGCCTTGAGCTGGTTTAGATCGTATCTCCATGACAGGAAGGTATCTATGAGCATGGGTGGGTTTTCTTCTGTCTTCTGCCTAAGGATGGGGATCCCGCAGGGTTCGATTTTGAGACCCTGTTGTTTTTGTTCTCGGTAGAAGGTCCACAACTATGGACTACTTATCTGTTAAGCGCTCCTCATTAGTAGTGGTTCTTAAAATGAGGCTGAAGACCTACTTTTATGATCTGGCTAGCAACAGCTAACACACAGAGTTAACTCTCGTGCTAATTGATGCTAATTACCTTGTCATTGTTACTTTGTTGGTTTTATCGGTGTCATTCTATTCATGTACAGCACTTTGGTGACATGATTCATGTCTGTAAGGTGCTCTATAAATAAAGGCTGAGTTGAGTAGAACGCCGTTTTAACTAATCAGCTCAACTCTCCCGACTGATAAATCTGGACCTACGGTACCTGCGGTATGGACGTGGTTGTCCATTAGAGCGCTGAGGCGGGCTGTAAGAGAGTGAGACAGCCAACAGGGCTGTCGAATGGCAGCTTTACACTGTCTCACTGCTGTGGTTCTGACTTGTTCGTCCTCGGGGGCTCCAAGCCCCGCCCTGTCTAACGGCACGCGGCGTCTCTTCTAACGGTGCTACAAACTAGTTCCGAATTTATTTACGAAGACAGGAACTGATGTCCTCCAGTGGGCTGTTTCCAACTTTATTATACCAATAGGAAGTTGACATAAAAAGAATAAATGAAGAATAAAGAAGGTTTTATCACTTATACAAGTAGCCACATGTGTTGGTTGTTTGCAAATCTGAAAAAATCCATATAATCTGGTCAGTTGGTAGAGTCGAATATTGATTTTAGAACTTAGATGGTTAGAAAATGGGTCATAATGAAGTTTGTCAGAATGGCGCTGCTGCGGTATGACGTAATCAGAAGGATCAGGGCCCTGAGCAAATCTGGTGCCTACATCAGGATTCAAACCTGCAACTGTGCTGTGAGACAGAACTCAACCATTTGGTGTCCCAAACATTAAAAGCAGCTGTTTGTGACAACTAGAAACAGCCGTGTCATGCTGTCCTGTTCTCACAAGTCATGGTTGGTCTCCTGCATAAACACTCAGCAGCACGTCCTGTTTTTTATCTTTCATCTTTGCACTCTGAAGGATGACGATGTTTGGAGTCTGGTTGTTTTTCTCCTCCTGAACAACCCATTTGTTTTAGTCCTAAATGAAGTGGCTGATTCACCAGATGTGCTGGAGACGGCGGGACTGGATTAGACTCGATTAACTCAAGGAACAAGTTCTCAGCTGATCTGAATTTTGTTTTTTTATTACCAAAGTCACAAACAAGCACGTCATTTCACATCCGAGCAAAAGAACACGTTAAACATTTTTCTTTGTTTGGGCGGCTTGTTGATGATGTTGTGCAGATAAACCAAAACTTTAGAGGTTAAATGAAATGGTAAATGTAGTTGTATAGCGCCTTCTTAGGGTTCTAAAACCCCCCAAGCCACTTTACAACACAATCAGTCATTCACCCATTCACACACTGATGGTGATGAGCTGCGATGTAGCCACAGCTGTCCTGGGGCGCACTGACAGAGGCACCACTGGTCCCTCCGACCAGCACCAGCAGGTAAAGGGGGTTAAGTGTCTTGCTGAAGGACACAACAGCTGAATTCTCTGGCCCAAGCCGGGATTGAACCTGCAACCTTCCGATTACTGGGCAACCCGCTCTACCTAAGGTTCTGTAAACCATATCTGATGTGAATAAACTAAGCTAAAATATTTTGAACATCATCCTCAGACTGACTTCTGATGCAGTTTTTGAAGAGGTTTAGTTGTTAGCTTTTATAGCTGTCTAGCTAGCCTAATAAAGATGATGGGTGTTTCTCAATGTCAAGGCGCCTGGCCTTGCGAGGCGATGTCTTGCGAGGCCAGGCGCCTTGCTTTCAAGGACGCTGTCCTTCCTTGGTCAAAGACAACGGTTAAATGGAACAGACTTGCATCACGTGACCGTGGCTTTCACGGTGGTCACGTAACGTCACGTGACACGGGAGAAAACGTTATATTTTATACGTATTCGTTTCGATATAAATATATAACGAGCCTTTAACTTTATAAATTGTGAATATGTTTATTAAATTACAAATATAAGTGAGTTATTACCCGCTAGCTACTGAAGCTGCAACTACTAAGCAACTAACCAACCATAGATAACTTCTTTGGATCTAAAAAAACATTTGAAATTAGCTGAATTACTTTTAAACTTGAAAATTGTCCCCGAAGTAGCTGCCGGCTTCTGATCCGCCGTCCTTTTGAAAATACCGCGGTGTATTGTGGGTCATTTTTGACCAAGGCTAGGCTACAAGACACCTCCCGTGTGTCCTTGCTCAGCTAGCTAAACGGCTAACAAACAGAGAACACACGCCTCGGTAGAACATGAACACGTCTTGGTGGCTTCCCATGACATATCTCCTAGGCAACAGGGGCGGAGCCAAGACATCAAGGCGAGGCTGAGAAACCCCCTGTGTTTATAGGAGTTGGTTTCCATCAGTACCTAAAAATAAAACTGAACATTTATATTTCTGCTGTTTTGCTCTGATACTGAGAATCACAACTGGATACTCGACACACTTCTGAAGCATCTCGGCTCCCACTGGCAGCTACCTCCACCGGAGTCCTTAAATAGTAAACCTTTCAAGCTCAGCTACAAAAATAAAGTTCAGGCATAAATTTCCACGCTTGCTGATATGATGGGCTGCATGTTTGGGCTTGACAGCACCGACGTATCTCCAAACCCACAGCCTGTACAACTCTCATGTAGCTCCCCTGTGAGCTGCCCATTTACGAAACACGTCTGAGAACACTTGCAGCGGCTCTTCGAGGACCCCTCCCCACCTGAACACATTTGTCTGCTCTCCACTCGTGTTGCTGCTGAGATGTCTCAGATCATCAAAGAAGGGCAGAAGGGACTCATAAATGCATCAAAGCAAAAGCTGAGACACAAACTCTTTTGTTAGCTTCCCTCCAGCGAAGCCGCCGAGTACACCCTCCACATCTGTTCCTGGTGCTTCTATAATTTACACACAAACATGACGCTTCTGTAACATCAGAGGATTAAAACACTTAATCTTTATTAAGCAAAGCAACAAACTGGCTTGCTGGCAGAAACATGTTTAATTAAAGTGTTTTGCTTCAGTTTTCTTTATCTCAAGAAAGAAAACTGCAAATTAATATCTTAGTCAAAAGAAGTAAAAACCAGGACAAAAATGAACAGCCCCCTCATTTTACTGCCTGAAGTCCAAGGCAGCAAGAAAATCTCAGTATTTCCAAATAAATCATTTTAAAGTTAATCATCAGGTTTGTTTTAAAAAGGCAGATAAGAGATTTCTCGGGGTAAGCAGAAAACTTTCAACCTTTTAAACTGAAGTGAGAGTTATGTTAACGCGAGACTTTCCCGTGTTGGGCTTGCTTTTAGCACCCCCTAGTGTCCAGTTAGTAATGCCAAACGTGAAACTTGTCTCCTGGCTGTGTGTTCGTCTTTTTAACATCTTAATCTAACGACTGAAGCCTCAATGGTTTCCACTGAAGCGGTTAGTCACTAAACAAAACTAATCAGCTGGGTTCATGATCTAAAACATGCTAGAAGCAGACTACAGCACTGGGATGTAAGCTCCACTTTCACCAACAGAAGGTAGCCCACCACTCTAAAGTTGCAAGTGGGGTATTCTGGCCACATT